CAATGACATACTCTGTTCAGAGCAGAGCGCCAGAAAAGCACAGGTCTCTAATCAACTGTGTGACCATAAATAAGCTACTTAATCCCTCTCCCTCAAATAGGGACACTGCCAGCCTCACAGACAGCTGTGAGGCTGATACCAGGCAACACATTTACACATATTTAACACCGGTTAGACATCTAACAAAGACCAATCGTCACCCCCAAATCCACTGACCTCTATCCTACAGCTCCTAGCTGTTCTTTCCAGAAATTTGCCTCACTCCTCTCATCTGTTGGGACTGGACCTAATCTTCAACATATTAACCAAATTCCCAGCTTCTGGGAAACGAGCCTCCACTCAGAATCATGCTCATCCTCAGCTCTCCTGTGACACAGGATCCCACTCTCCCTGTCCCTGCCCCAGTTCTGTGCCTTGCCATTTCATATCACCCCAACCAGAATATGAGCTCCTTGGGAGCTTGGCCAGTATCTGATGCTTGTTTCTGTCCCTCCCCATTAGGTCTTGCTCATAGTAGGTATTTAATGAAGCTCAGCTGACTAAAGCCACAAGAAAATAGCCTCTCAGAAAGCAATCTACATGGGCTGAATTACTGACCTAAGTCAGGCAGGTAGATGCAGCCCTGAAGCTTTTGTTTTGCTCACTGCAAGTGCTTTGAGGAAAGCAGGGAGCTTTCCAGGGGCCACAGCACCGACCCTATTTTATGACCATCCTGTAGCAGTGAATGGGGATCTTACAATGTTCCCCAAGCTTTCCTATGTCTCCAGCTAACCCAGGAGATTTGGAATAGGTTTTCAAGATCCTTGGCTATCTACATACCTGCAGAAATTGAGACTAGCAGAGAAGCAATATCTGGCAAAGTCAGATAAATGAGATTTGAACATTTCGCCCTATTCCACAGAGACTCCCAAGAGTAGAGGCAGCACATTAGTTATTTTGCTTACACTGGGGACAAAGCATGTGTTCCATGGCTTCTGATGAGTTCTGTGACCACCCTGGGCTCCCCTGGCCATCTCTGGGTTATATAAATGTTTGATGAAAACCCTCTCAGGGGAAATCAAATTTTTATAAGAATTTAATGACAGCCCATCTAGATGTGTGATAACTTGTGTTGATAGTTCATTAACCCTTTTCCGGCTGATATCCTCACTTAGAGACCTGTGAAGAAAAATGGGTGTTTCGTAATACCCACTTCAAGGTGATATGGAAGAGAAAAGTAAGTACACTTAATAAATTTCCTAAAGGGGAAGCCAAGGTCCCTCATGCCTGACTTGGGTACACAGGGTGTCATAAACACAGCCTGTGTACATGACGCAACATTCCAGCCATGCACAGACGCACTGCTCTTCATTTATCCACCTGCTCCCAGACTGAGAGAGCCACAGGAATACAGGGGAGGAAAATTACACTCCAGGGAGCCTAGAGTTTGTAGACACTATCAAGTGAGTTCAGAATGTCTTCTTGGCCTGAAGTCAAGATTTTCCTGGTGTGTGTCAGGTGATCATGTGGCTTCTTAGTCCAAGTTTAAATCTTGTATGTTAGTATAAAAAGAAATTAGAGACTAGGCCTTGTGTCCATGTAATGGTATCTACAGAAATAACTTCCTGTCCACTTACCCTCAATACTTTAAATATGCATAGAGCTTCAGACTCCTAGGAAAGAGGCAAAAATGCCATATACAACACAGATGACAATGGACTGGAATAAGCAAGCAGATGTGGCAAGATCGGGACACCAATATCCCAGGCTCTGCACTGCTGCTTTAACTGTTGGTCCATTACCAAAGCACATGTGGAGTCCTTTTTATTGCATAGAACAGCAAGAAGAAGAAGAAACTAATGATACATGCAAATAACCTGGAGGAAGCACAAAAACATGCGGAGCAACATAAATGAACCACAAGAAATGTATATATTGTATTACCCATCTTTATGAAGTTCTACAATAGGCAGCACTAATCTCTGGTGAAAAGTCTCTGTAGTGGCTGCCAGGGGGCAGGGCACTGACTGGGAAGAGACAAGAAAAGTTTTCCAGGGCAATGAGAATATATCTTTCATCAAAGTATTTATTCTGTATCTTGATAAATATGTAGGTTACAAGGGCACAGAAATCTGTCAAAACTCTTGAAACTGCAACACTCAAGTTTAGTTCTTATATGTAAATTACACAGCAAAAGAATACTAAATAGCAAAGTCAGATAAATTTAGAATCTAGAATATTAAATGGCACAAAATGAAAATAAAATCTTGGCTTATGGAATCATCTTCTTCTTTCTAGACTTTTTCTTCCCCCAAAAAACATACTATGTGCTAAGCTATATATGAACCACTGGGGGCTACTAAGGCCAAGTAAGTCCTCATTCTTGCCTTGCTGGAGCTCAAACAGAAGACCAAGAGACCATCCTCTATTCTTAGTTCTGAGGCTCTCAACTCATAGTAGGAAATATTCTCTCTCTTTCTCCTTCTCCCTCTCTCTCTCCCTCTCTTTCTCTCTCTCACACATACCACCACCACAATAGGTATACAAACATGCATGTATACACCTACCATAAAAGTGTCACAAAATAAAACTTAAAACATACTAGTTTGATACATCCTAATATTTTCTTTCCTATTTGAGTATAGTTATTAAAAAAGAGGTTGAACTCATAAATGAAATTTCATGGCTCCCTGAATGGATTATGAACCAGTTTGAAAAACCTAGGGTCTATAAATATTTCTCAGACAAAACTATTACAATTTGTACCCTTGATGCTAAGCATTTCACCTCCCCAAATATTCACTAAATATTTAGAGCTGAGTAGTATTAGCTTTTTCTAAAGAGAGGAATTAATTTGTCCTCATCCTATAAAAAAACTAAACAAAACAAACAACAAGCAAAATAAATAAGATACAACCAAAACAGAGCAGCAAAGAAAGAGCATGCTCACTGCCCCTGTGGCTTGGAGAGCTGCCACTCTGGACTGGCCCACAGTCCCCAGCCCCATGCCCTGCTGAGTGCTAAGGAGGCTGCTGTCTTCTTTTTCAGTAGCACTTCAACCACATCCTGTGAAGTGAGGCTCTTAGCAGCCCTTCTTCTTCTTTAATACAATGAAAATAAGGTACAAAATAGCTTTTTAAGGGCTGAGGAGAGGGGAGGGGAATGGGGGAAAAGACAAATCAAGATATATTATGTACAGGTACAAATTCCCAATGATGAATGTGATCAATATGCATGTCAAATAGGTATCAATTTTAAAAAGATTAAAAAAGCTTCTTATACTAATTTTAAAACACATGCTCATCCCTGGTGAAGGGTCTAAGGATTACATAAGTTGTGACGAACACAGCAGTGGACCCTAGCTTCCCCTGGTGAGACAGCAGGAAAACTGCCTGGGGAAAAAGTAAGAAAGACAACACATGGGTGGAAGATGAGCGGCACCCTGCATGTTTGACTTTTTTTTAAACAAGTGTTAGATAAATAGCAGAAATTGAGCCTAAGAAAGAAGTGATTCTCTTCCATGGATGGAGAACAGGCCTTTTTCCCAACAGAGAGGAACTGTTGTGCTGAGCAGGAGAAAGGATCTTGTTTGGGGCTTTGAACTCCACTGAGGGACAATGTTCTGACTGGCATCAACAGCAGCAAGAACAAAGATGTGTCTGAACGGGGACTTGGGTTCCACTTACCCAGCGAGACAATAACACTTGGGGGCATGAGAGGGCAGGACCTACTGAATCAAAGCTCTGCATCTGAAAGGAGACAGGAATCTGTACTTCAGTAAAGTTCCCCAAGCAACTCTGATGTGGGGCAGATTTAAGCATCAGGGTTCTAGTCCTGGGCTTTAGTCTGCAGGGGGCAGAGGAGTGGGAAAGAAAGCAAAGTTTCAGAACAGTGCAGTGACAAGCCTTGGTAACTCAGCTTATACACAACAGTGAGTCTTAGATCACTAGGGCTGTGAAGTGTGGCCGGTTTGCTTATAGAGAAACCAAGGCAGGCACAAATACAAGCACATGCAGTCTGACCAGAAGTTTGAAAAGCCCAGCTGCTGCTACCACCACTGCCAACGACCTGGGGCAAGCGCCAGGCTCAGACAGGATGCTGAGATACATGTGAGGTCCTTGAGAGTGGGGGCCAATGCTCCCTGAGCTGGCTCCAGACTCTTCACCTTGTTGACAGGAGGGTTACACTTTAGCTTAGAACTGGCTTAGGAATTGGGCCAGACTAGGATCTCTATGTCTGAAGAAAAGCAACAGGCAAAGGAGGGCCAAGCCCAAGACTGTTCCATGAAGATAAGACAAAAAGCTGTCCTGGTTCCAGGCAAAACACACCTACCTACTAACCTGCTTCTCTCAAGAAGTCACCTTTGTGCCACACCTAAACAAGAATGGGCCAGACGTTAGCAGCATCTGGACACCTTCTCGACTGGACCCTAATTAGAAGTGCACTGCAAAACTATAGCCTTGCACATCTGGACCACTAACTTCTTCATCTACAAATTGGAGACAACACTGCTTATCCATAAGGGTGATATGATAGTCAAACAAGAAACTCCTGAGAAACACTATTGGCTATATACATATAGCAAAAAGTATGGTACCCTAACTCCAGCTCTTATCATTTCACTGTCCAAGCTGCTGAGTAAGGGAGTATTTCTTGGCAGACAGATGAGCAGAGCAAGTATGAGCATAGGTTTAGTAATCAGACCTTGGTGCCCACTTTGCCTGTCATTTATGAGTTCTGGGTAAGTCATCTAAACTCTCTGCATGTTAGCCAATAAAAGCAAAGATAATGTCTTCTTTCCAGGACTGTGGTGAGGAGTGAATGAGACAAAGGGTGATGTTTCACCTGGTACTGATACACAGTAAGTCCCTCAGTAGCGATCAAGAGGGATCTCGGCCACCCTCTCTGTAAATTGTGCTCTAACTGCCCTAGATGCCTGGACACCAGACATGGGGAATGGGTGAGTGTAACTCTGAATCCAGGAAAGAGATGTCCATGGCCCCCTGGCTCTTAGCACTTACATCAATCAGGTCAGACAGGTCGTGGATGTAGTACTTGAAGACAGATGCATTGGTTGCCTCCAAAGCCAGCAAATACTCATTCCGGGCTTTAATGGCCTTCAGCTTGTTCTCAGTGTACTTGGCTTGGCGCTGAAAAGGAAACAGAAATTCACTTTTACTTTTTTTTTTTTTTTTTTAGGGGAGATTGTTCTCTGAGAGAGGAAAGTACAGTTCATCCAAGGACCACAACTGTGCTGCTACTCCCCATGCGAATCTGCTTTAAATTGGGTTCTAATTCTGATTAATGAGTCAAGGGCATAATGTAGATCAACTTAGGAAAGGTTAATGAGGCTCCCTACTTCACATGCGTGCCCCACTTTGATTCCATCTTCAAATACTGTTCTTCATCCTTGCACTGCCACCCTGGAGGAGGTGCACTACCTCTGCCTGCCCCAAACCCTTGACTCCTAAAGCCAAACACGAGGTCTAGAGTCCTACAGACACACACACACACACACACACACACACACACACACACACACACACAAAGCACTAGGGTATTTCATTTGATTAGGAAAATGGGCTGGGAAAGGTTACTACTGGTTCTTACCTGCTACAGTTTAAAAACCTGGTGCTCATATGCCCAAGGTTTTCTAATACCTAGGATTTCAGCAAGAGCAGAAACTCACTAAAGAATCCCACAGCTTCCTTGTTTGGTTCTTCATGGAGCCTACTGGGCAATTCTATCACTCCTTCCTTCTAGAAGATTCCTCCCTGCCTCTACTGTTGCTGGAGCATACACACCTTCTCCTTCATCTTCTCAATCTTCTTCACCGAGCTCCGCCTGACATGTTTCTCTTCGATGCGGACATTGGCCGTGGAGTCAGGGGAGCGTGGGGTCTGCCGGTCCTCCTGCTTCACAGATTTACCAATCTGCTTCTCCTCCTGCTTCTCTGCCTCCTTTAGCTTGCTTTGAGCACTGATGCTGTCGGCATTGTACATGTGATATGTCTTCATGACCTGCAAGACACCCACGTCCCCATCCAGAGGCCAAGCCAGTGAGGTCAACTCTCTGCTTTGAAGACTAACAGCTAAACCTCTCCCAAGTGCAGCAATATCCTCATCCCCGAGAGAAAAATACAGAAGTGTTTGGTTCAGTAAACATATATCAAAGACTGCTCCAAAGTATAGGGAAGCAGTATTAGAACTGAGCCACTGTGTCTTCTTATTGAAATGACTTCATGTATTATTTTCTTCTATGTATGTATGTACGTATGTATGTATGTGTGTGTATATGTGTTTATTTTTGTCTTTTTGAGACAGGGTTTCACTATACAGTTCAGGCTGGCCTTGAGCTCACTTTGTAGCCTAGGCTGGCTCGAACTCACAGCAATCCTCCTGCCTCAGCCTCCTGAGTGCTGGGATTACAGGCATGTGCCACCTTGCCCAGCCTCTTCTATTTATTATAACTTGAAATCACTACTCTTATATTGGCCCAGTGATTACTGTTGCTTAGTCACCTCACAATACTGAGTAGACAGGAAACAATGACACCTCTCTCAGACCTTGAAGGCACATCCCCCTGACTAGGGTCCCCCAAAGTGGGCCTGTGCAGTACCCCATACTTTTTGTACCTTTCAGATATAAAATGAGGAGCGAGGGAAGCTCCAAAAGCTCTACTGGCCCACTTTATTTGTATGAGACACCTGCTTGTGGAAACCAGAATAGCAGTGGGGAAACGGCAGCCATCATTTGCTGAGCCTGTAATATGTTCTTGGCTCTGTGCCAAGTGCTACACATACATTTGCCTATTTTACCTGTGTGGCAATTCTATGATCTAAACAATAATACTGTGAACCTGCACAATTCAGGTAAGAAGATGGGAAGGAATAAAATCTTTACCAAGTACAACTAGAGTGGCAACAAGAAAGAAGTAAAATAAAAAGAGGAAGACTCAACTTTCACATTTTCCATCAAAGCGACTGTCTAGGAATCCAGTTCTATTACTTAGCAAGGAGGCCAGGAAGCCTGGAAATCAAGCTTGTTTCCAGTCCTCCCAAATAAACTGCTTCCAGCCACACAGCGCCTACCCCACTCTACTGCAGCATTCTGTCTCCACGCAAGACCGTCTATGTGGGAGTTCGAAATGCCTAATAACAAACTGAACAGTCTGAAGCAGAAGAGCACTGAGATTCTGACACAGAGACTTCCCTGGGAGGGAGACACAGTGCGGGAGCTGGGCGGATGTGTACATTGTGTGCGTGTCGCTGGACAACATAGGAGGGCAAGGGCACAATATTAATATTAATCCCTGCCACTTAGAGCCTGCTGCATGTTGGGGGCTTTCTGTTCACTGCCTCACGTAATCCTCACTACTCTATAAAAGACACATTCACTACTTCCACTTCAAAAGATGAGGAAATGGGGCCCAGTCACATGACTAAATGGGAGTGTCAGGATTCAAACCTAGGTCTGACAAACTCCAAAATCCATACTCTGGCCACTAAGTAACAGTGAATTTCCTCTGCAAGAAACTGAGCTGAAATACTGCAGTTGGGAAGAAAGGTTACATATAGTCAAGGGAGTCCTGAAAAGAGAAACCAGCTTCATTCATTTTACTGTGAGACACTAAATACTGAATTCACATATTTAGCTCTGCTCCCTCCCTGAGCCACACTAAAATGTTAGAAAAGAGTTTTCATTATTACTATTTTTAGTGTAAACTAGGGAAAATAAAAAGAGTGGAAGCAAACTATGACAAGCAGTAGGCAAGTAATAACTGACCAATGAAATTCTAAGCCAAGCGAAGGGAGAGGCAAGAAACAACTGGACATATCCTGGAAACGCCCCAAGAAATAATAGCAGAGGGATGAGGTGGGAGCTAAGAGAAATTATCAAAAGCCTAAGAACCATCAGACCCACACATCTTCACCCTCATCACAGTAGAGGACTAGAGGCTTATTAGGAAGGTTTTCTAAACTGCAGAGTATTAGGCTTATCTAATAGGGGGCCAGAACGTAAAATAGGTGGGCCAACAGGAAAGTCCTATTCTGAAGGTTGAGATGGCCCACACTTCCTCACAATTTAGCCCCTAGATGAAATGGGAAATCAAAAGAGCCATGTGTCAGCACACTGACCATCTAAGATAAAAAACAAAGAAATACTGACGCTGGGGTTTCCCCAAAGTACAGCCCAGTCAGATCACCCTCCACTAAAAGCCATGCTTGATCCAGAACTGGTTAGCAGCTCGTTTTTAAATATGAACAGGCAGTGAAGAATAATCACACATTTGGGAGTACCAAGACCAAGACTAAAACAAGCAATTTAGAGGAAACAGGGTATGTAGAGAGTAGAAAACTTTGAAAGCAGTCTATGGACGGTAGCCCCTGAGAGTTGGAGAAATAAGGACACTGTGTCGTGAAACAAGAGTGGCAGGGAGAGGGGGTAGGAAGGTGGTTCTTGGAAATTAAGAGTCAATCCAAAGTGCCTATGCCCCTTCTCTGTGCAGGCATGTAAGAGTTCTCATCACCTCACTTGTTTACTTGCTCTTTTACTCTTCTGCTTCTCCCTATTAAAAAACTAAATGTCTTATGTTTAGGGACATCTCTTATTTGTTGTTGTATCCATGATGCCTTGTGCCAGGATCAAACAGACAAGCAGAACTGAGGAACTATTAGGGGCCACTGTTTCAAGGGAGCAGGTGCTGGACGCTAGTCTTTAGAAGCTCTGCAAGCAAACAGCTGCTGCTCCAAGTCCAGGGGACATAAACTTGTGGGCAGCACCACGACATAAAACGTCTGGAGTGACAGCAGTCCTACTGTTCCAAAGCCTCTTCTTTCTCCATCAAGCCTAGGGTTTCCTTGACTTTTCCTACTTAGCCAACCCCATATGGCATCTGTGCCTGCATATATAATATGTTTTCCTCTGAGGGCTTCTGAGGCTTCGCAAGACACAGCTTCTGAGTATAATCAAAGAAGATAACCTAAGAATTCCTTCAGAAGAAGTGTGCTGACTGCGAAAGCATTTCTGGAGCATCAGTCAGTGTCGTGGTTGATTGATTATGTCAACTGGAGAAGTTTAGAAGCTTAACTAAATCAAGCTCAGCAATTCTGCACCCTAGGGTGGCTCATCACCTAGATGATATAAAAGGGAAATGAGGAAGGACGGAAGGACTTCCATTCTTTGGAGCAGCTCCAGTCTTTGCCTTCAGCTTGGATGTTGTCTCCTGGCTTCTCGTGCAGACTCTTGGGCTTCTGCCTTTGATCCTTCAGCTTTTTGGGGTAGACTCATCAGCCTCCCCTCGCAGACCCATTAGCCTCCTGATACAAACTTGCACAGAACACTGCAGTGAGCTCCGGACTTTGGACTGAATCCTTCAGTCTCCAATCTGCAGACACCCCTTGCATGCTTCTTCATCCGACCTTATGGCTGACCATCATAAGGCAATCTTGCAATATCTTATAAATTTGTATATTTTGTGTTATGTCTCTTTCTCTAGTAAAACCCTGACTGATGCAATCAGAAAATGAAAACCCCTTACACCATAGCTTCCAAGCCAGCCCACTCATTGTGCAGAAGAATGCTTTCTGGGGCTACTCTCGGAACAGGAGCTGTAGGCAGTGGCCCCTGGCACATGGCGCCAAGTTAAGAAAATCAAAGGCCCTTCAGGGAGAGATGAGAAAGGTGCAAGGAGGCAGCTGGCCCCTTATGGTAAGACTCTGAGACTCTTGTCCAAAGGGGATTTTTCTTTGGAAACACTGGGGCTCTGCCCCTTGGCTCATCAGCATTCAAAAATACTTCCATTACCAACCCTTGGGTAGTCAGTCCTCCAAAAGAAGTATTCATGGACATTAAGGGGGAGGTGTAAAGTAAGAAAGATATTGAAAATATGGTGAGTTTTTGTGTGTGGGCGTGTGGGGTTTTTTTGTTTGTTTGTTTTCTCCTTTTTGTGGTGGTGCTAATGGGGATCAAACCCAGAGCCTGTAGGCAGGGCTCTACCACTAAGCTACATAAGCTTTTTTTTTTTAAATGCTAGCAAAGTTTTACTAAAAGTAGGAAAAGAAACAGGCTCTACAGAGTGAGTTTGGGCCAAGCAAATGTAGGAAAAGAGGTAGATCCTACAAGGTGAAGATCAAGCATCCATGCAAGAGAACACAGGGGCCCTTTTTATTTTTTTGACAGTCTCACAAAGCTGCCCAGGTTGGCCTTAAATTTGTGATTCTCCTGCCTTAGCTTTCCCAATGGCTAGGATTATAGGTATGCACCAGCACATTGGTGGTGGGCTTCTTATAGCCTTGAGTTTCTTTTCCTAGTGTCCACAGATAAATTCTATTTCCTAAAGGGTCACTGAAAGAAGAGGCCCTTCCCTGCTTTCCTAAAAATCAAGGGGGAAGATCCTTATAAGAAACTCCCTTATTCTCTTCCCAACTTCCCTGAGAAAGTGTACAGCAAGCAGCTTCCCAAGGCCAGCAGAGGGAAGTCCCAACTTCCTACATGATGAAATCACTACCCCATGCAATGTGACAGTCATCTTGTTAAGACTTTCCAATTTCAGCACTGAAAGTCTCATGTCCCAAGAAACTCTTCAGTCCTGGGCTACCCAGGGACAGTCAGTCACTCTAATTCTGTAAAGTCTTTATTTGTAGTCAAGCTAATTTCACCCTTCAGAAGAAAGAACAATTAATCCTACTCTCTAAACTTTCTAATGTCCTACAGAATCTGAAAACTCAGTTCATCCGTAACAATAGCCTGATATTTCAGGAAGTATGACTGCCCCAGTCATCCTTGCCCCAGGATACAGAAAGAGTAGCACATGGAAAGGATGGGATATGACAGTCAAGGAGGCTGGGGAACCCTCAAGTTTATACAGCTAGTAGTTAACACAGGGTAGAATCTAGGTTGCTTAATTAAGGAGACTTTGGTCACTACATACATTGTTGTTGTCAGGGACTGTCCTGTACGTTGTAGGGTTTTAACAGCATTCTTGGCCTCTACTCATTAGAGCGTAACAATCTCTTCCACTCCTCCAACTGTGACTACTAAAAATGTCTAAAGACACTGCCAAATGTCCCTTTGGGGCAAAAAAAGTCATCCTGTACGAGAGTCACTGTGTCAGAATGTTCTGCCTTCTCTGGAACTTTCTGGTGTCCTCCACTATTCTCCTCTTCCCATCACCTACTAGAGAAAAATATCAAATTTTTATTTATGCCTTGGACAAATTATAAGAGCATGTACCAACTCACTTCTTGGCAGGCAACACCACACCCAGGCAATTCTCAGACTTTATACTCTGTACTGGCGGTGGCCGCCTAGTGGCCAAAAAAGCAGCTGGATGGCTGAAGACTGCAGCTGGAGGTACCACTGGGCTGTGCTCAGACCACAGCATAAGTGCCAGGTGTTCTTCCCCACTCCAGCACAGCTTGCACCCTTTCACTGACTTTTTAAATCATAGCTCATAAAGAGATCTAGGACTTGGGTCAAAGCTAGCAGATCCTCAGACACCATTCTTCCTCTGTTGTCCTGAGTCCCACTGCAGAACCAGCATGCTGGATTTGAGTTGGTTTGGAGTTTGCCAGTTATCCAACCTGATTCTTCCCAGAAACGGCTACAAATAGCAGAGGCCCAAGATGCTTACAGAAAAATAAAAGGACTCCTATAATAACATATGTCATTTATATCTTAGTGAATTCTCTGTCAGAAGAAAGAAGTAATAACTCTTCTTGCCTAGAAGATGCTCTAAAAATAAAGGAATAAGCATCGAAAAGACAGTTCATCCAGTTTGCAAATGGTTTATATCAATTTGCTTCTATTTTTAGAAAGCCTTTACTTGAAAGAAATGAAAACTGAGAGCCGAACCTAAGGGTACCATCTATCTACTTGGCTTCAGAGCAGAAGAGTCACACAATAGAAATTTAAAACAAATCAAGAATCACTGCAGAAAAGTAAAATGATGCCCTGCTTAGCTGCTAACAGTTGTCATAACAAAATGGTCACACCTAGGCTTGTGGATTAAGAACATGAACTCTCTAATCTCAAAGGCCTCAGACGCACACAGCACTGCCCACTCTTCCTTAAAGTGCAGGAAGAAAGGAGGGAAGGAGGAGGAGAAGGGTGAAACAAGAAAACCAAAAATCCAATTTACTTCTAAATAGGATGGGGCAACCCTAGAAAATGACTTATAGGGCTGACACAGCACAGCAGGGGAAGAGATCTCCAAAAGACGTTAGCTGTACAAATGAAAGGTTCTCTGCATGACAACAGAAATTTCCTTTGTGTATATGTGTGTGCATTTGTTTTCATCACACCAACAAAACATGGCTAGAGGAAAACACTGGCATGTCTCAGCGTATGAAAGGCCATACACCAGCCACAGGTAACATGGGCCCAAAGCACCAGTCATTTCAGAATGGACTGTGTTCTCCTTCCTCTCCAGGGCCACCACCTGCCTCTTCACTGAGGTTTTCACTCCAGGAAGCTAGTCCAAAGTTCTCTCTACCTGAACTGGTCCCTCAAATTAGGACACTTAGAAATCTGTTTCCCTCTTAAACCAAGATCAATCCAAGATCTGAAGCAAGACTTGGACCATAAATTCTTTCCAACAGGCACATATTAATGGTGCAACACTGTTCCATGCCATTGTTTGGGGTCCCTGGTTTCTTACTAATGGTGTCAGATGTTCTGGTGACCTAGGTCGTGGCTGGTCTCTTGGGATAATCCCCCAAATGAGGCCAGGGTGAGCTTGGACACTATTTTGAGAAAGTATTTCTTGGCTTATTCCATTTTGAAAAAAGAGATGGGTGGGGTCACCCCCACTGGGGAACATGCACTGTCCACAACCACAGCTCAGTTCTGTTACCAATGTGACTATGGCTACAAGCTGACAAATGCTGCTTCCTCCTACTTGTTAAACAGCCACACAACCCATCTTATTTACCGAGTAGAGCTCATTCAGGACCTTCATCAAATCATCTTGGAGCTGCTGGCCGACTTCTTTACTCTGCAAAGAAAGAGGAAGGAAGGTTAATTGGGAAACAGAAGAAGGGAGGAGGGGGCCACAAAGGCAAAAGCAGCACTGGCTCTACAAATAACACAGATTCAATTAAAGCCCATTATTTAACCCAGCAAATCAGATAACCACTCAGATCAGACCCAATTATGGTCACATTACTCAAAGAGTTTTAATAAAATGAAATGTGTCCTTTCTATAGCCTAGCAAAGGCAATTGTGTGGAGGGAAATGGGTTATAGGCTTGATTTTTCAATTGGTCCCCAAAGAGCAGGTCTGAAAGCCACATCCTACATAGCAACTGTTGTTAGGTGGAATATGTGTTCTCAGATACTTGTAGGCAAACATTCCAGAGGATTACAAAAGAAAGGAAGACGTGTAAGAGGACGAGCTAGGAAAAAGTATATACACAACAAGTAAGAGAGGTCAAGGACTTCAAAGTCCCTAACTAAAGAGAACTCCAAGCAGGAAGGTGTTTGCTTGCTTTATTTCTACCCTACACTCCCAAAACAGTGATTCCTTAGTAATGGATGCTTGCAAGATTAGCTAATGTTACTTGATTCTGATATGTTAAGGGGTCTCCAGCTGGTAAATCCTGAGCAGTGTTAGCTCTCAGATTCTTTGCTACTGTCACCCAAGGCCAGTATCTAACCACAGAGAACAGGAGAAACACAGAAAATGAGGAAGAAGGAAATAGTCATGCCTGCTACAGGGAATATTATGCCAAGTCCAAGAGAGCAGGGGATAAAACTGATTGGCACCACTGGACTATTGTGGGGTGAAGACCTCATTTTATCTTCTGCCAGCTCCTTCTAGTTCTTTACTACTAAAAATTCAAACACCAACAACACCCTTCTAATAGAAGGTACAATACTGCCCGGGCAGTGCTCAGCTCCCAGGCAAGAAAAGAGGCGGTCTTTCATTCAGAAACAATCATTTCAGGTCTTATTTTTTTTTTCAAGATGCATGCATCTTTACTTTAAAAACACTTTTTCTTTCAATAGTAATATATATTAAAATAAGGAAACTATAGAAACTTCAAAAGAGAAAACAAAATAATCCTTAAATATCTACCAATAAGAAAACATCACCTTGTTATATATTTTTCTAATTTTCCCTCTTTCATTCTTATTTCTGCAAAGTTAGGATTGCATTATAAACTGTTTGGAAATTTAATTTCTTTAACTGTCTCTTTTGCATACATTTCCCCATGTATTATTCCTCTATAACATTTTAGTACGATATATTGCTGTAGCTCCTATTCTGGAGAGTTACTTTGCTTGAAGAGTTTTGTGATTTTTTAAAAATTATGTGTATTAAATTACACATAATCTATGCACAAACCTTTCATTACTTTCTATTAGAAATAACACTGCTGGGTCAATGTGAATTCATTTACACCATTAAATTGCCTTTAAGAAAAACTGTGCTAATTAAAAATATTGCCAGAGGCATGTAAGAATGCTAATTTCACTTTTCTGTCTTGACAATTTGATGTGATATCCTATTGTAATTTGCAGTCCTTTGGTTCTAGTAAACTTGAGCATTTAAAAAAACTGTTTATTAGATATCTTTTTTATAGTTTGCCATTTCTCTATTAAGAAATTCTCTGATCAGTTTTTCTACTAAAGTATTCATTGTAGACTATAACAGAGGTGTGACTTCCATCATGAACAGTCATGAAGTTTTGTGCCTGATGGTGGGGAGAGGGATGGAAAGAATCCCAAATCAGCAATCACAGGTGTTTCCTTCTACTCCCAGATCTTCTGCACTTGCTACAATCTTTCTGGGTCTCTGTTTTCCCTTCCACAACGTTAAAGGGTTCAACTCAAACATCCCTAATGTCTTCTCAATCTCTGCCACTCTGATTCCACAAGCTCTTTTGACTGGCTCCTAGGGTTCATATCAGATTCTAATAGGACCCCCTGCAAGTGTACGGCTAGGTGGCTGGCTTCACACCACACCATCAGTGGTAATCAGCAAGTTCTCAGGGCCCTGATGTTCTACGAACTGGAGGGCTTCAGGGGCAACTAGCAAGTTCTGTCAACTGATGACCTCAACCACTGGACGAGAAGCCATGAGAGAGAATGCCTGCCTTTCATCTACAACTTCGCACCCCATCCCACATGAGCAAAGCTGAGCTTCACCGAAGCAGCAGAGGCTCAAGGAGGTGAAGTTGGGAGAAATGACTCATTACTAGCCTCAGCATCAAGAGGGTCAGGAAGTGACTACGAGTATCACTTCTACCACCCTGCCCTCCTGCCTCCAGGCCAGCTTCCCAGGTTAAAGGAGAAAGCTCGTGATCCCCCATGCAGGAGAACAGGAGAATGAGGAGGCAGGGGAAGGCCTAACCAATAAAATAGCAATTAGGCCAGGCAGATGTTTCCTTTCCTGTACTGATTAGTTGGGAGGACTACTCAACTGCGAGCCTTGTTTATTTGAACAGGCTACTGAAGCGATCTGACTTACCACTTCCCTCTGGCAGAGGGCTGGGCTGGGAACACAGGTGTAGCTAGCTCTGTTAACATGCACAATATGACCCCAGCAATCAGGAGCAATTTGGACCCACTGCAAGAGACAGGAAGTAGCCAGGGTCCCTCCTTTTGCAGATGATAAAAGGCTACCCTTTCTCTATTTGGGAAACTTTAACTGTGTGCCTTCAGGGGAAAGCGCAGCCCAAGAAGGGCTTCTGTGCTGGCCACTGTGGAGGGAGTGATGGCGCTGGAAGCTGCACAGAGCCCCACCCCAAGACAAGGAGCACATTTATTCCTGGGAACAACAAAACCTGATGAGGCTGAGCACAGGACAATGAAGGCTGTAGAGCCGTTCCACTCCCTATAGAGAAGCTAGGGGGTTTTAGGCAGGGAAGAAAAAGAATTTACAGTGCAGCCTTTGTGAACCAATATACAGCCTGCATCTCTTTCCTTTAAAATTTCTTGGAAGAGAATGAGTCATCTAAACATTGCAGGAAACCAAAAGAAGTTGGGGGAAAAATTACTTTGAGCAGTTTCTCTCTTAAATGTTTTGCATAGTAATCTTTGCCTGGAAAAAAAAAAATTGCCTAAATTTAGAATAGAGATGTGGCACACTTAACAATGCTGGTTGGACAGAATAGGAAGTGTGATGATGTGCTCAGGCCTGTTACCACAACTGTTTGGCAGCACTGTGCTTCACGGACTCCCCACCTTGCCTGCTTCGAAGGCCAGGGTGGGAATGGGTGGAAGACAATGAGATCGCAACAGTTCCTGCCAGCTGCACTAACAAAATGGGTAAGGAATCTTCCCTTTCTGACAGATAACAGAACTGGACAACAAAACCTAAACGCACAGATGCATCTCCCCAAGAGCATCATGTTTCAAGGTCACCTTGCTCACAGAAGGTACAGCAGTTGAACACTGGTCACACATCTTTAAAAATCAATACACTTCCTGGGCTTCAGTGTGTTTGTCTACAGCGTTTCCAAAAAACGTCAATTATGAAAGGGCTTTAAAGCGAGTCTTCATCAGTGAGATTACCTATTACTCAGTTCTCTAGTTATTCCAATCAGCAAAGTGTATTTTAAAGAAGGGGTGGGCAGAGGCTGGTTTTTTGGTTTTTTTTTTAAATTGGCTGTCTCTATATGATAATGCTGTATTATGTGACAGGCACAAAATTACCCCCTATTTCTATAGAAGAAGAAAGAAAAGAGGAAGGCATGCCTCTGCCATGTGGTGAGAGCTAATTTCAGCATGGTCCCAAGGCTGAGGCTGTCAGCAGGTAGAAACAGTAGGGTCATTTAGCTCTGGCCTGATTAGCCTGTGTCAGCAGTTTTCCAAAAAAGAATCCAATTTTCAAGGGCACAGATCTCCTCCACCAGTGCTAACATTCCCCCCACCCCACCCCAAAGGCACTTCAGAGGCCAACTGTTAAAAAAAAAGTTAAAAAACCAAATTTACACTTACAGATTTCAGAGGACAGAGATATGAACTGTCTATTAAGCTCTCGCAGCAGAAGTGCAACTAGACACAGGGTAAGGGTTTCAGGGCACTGGCTCACCACTTCAAAGAGGCTAAGTTTCTTGAGCTGGTGCTTTGTCCAAAATGCTTTTGATAGGAAAAACAGGTAAGGCTACAGGAAGAGGGTGGTGGGTAGCAGGGCCAATGCAAAGCCCTGAATCCAGCTTCTCCTCCACTCAACTCAGCCCACCAAAACAGTGCTTCAGGGTGATGATCCCAGCAGGTCGGAGCTCTGGAATGACCTCGAGACTTCCCCTCCACCATACTCCTTGCATACCTATGAAAAAGGTTTTTTCTACACCCCACTCACTTGCTGGAAAGGACAGCAATGATGGCTCTGGGAAGGCTGAGCTCCAGTTAGGACCTTATATTCTAGGGAGACCAAGGTCACACCACATTATAAATACAGGGACTAGGGCTGTACTTCATGGCAAAGTGCTTGCCTACCATGTAGAAGGCCCTGGATCTGACCCTCAGAACCACAAAATAACAACACGCTATGTGCAAAACTTCTATAGAGAGGCAGGCTGGAAGCAACCATTCGAGGGACACTGGAGGTACTTGTACCTTCTAAAGATGGGTACACAGGAGTATCTATCCATTTACAGTTTACCATATACGTACATCTACAATAACAGTACTTATTCCAGTCCATTCTCATATTTCCTATTCTTTTCTCTCCTGCTTTTTTATGTTGGTTACCTTGTTAAATTAATTTTTTTTATTTTTAAACCAATAATGAATTATATGTTTTAAAGGGCTCAGTACATACCAAAGATTGTAACTGTGGACTTAATGAAGAAAATAGTGGTTTAAGGACTGGCGCCCACTAATGAAGGAATTATAAATAACTTGCTTGCCCTCTTGGAGATGGCTGATTAGATGGTTCAAAGTAGGCTCAATGGATCCTGGTAAGCAGGGAAATGGCTATATTTTGGGATGTGAGTAATAAAAAGTTCATCGCAAATATAGCACATCTATTATGTGTCAGGCACTT